TTCTCTGATTGGTTTATTTTGTTTAACATAATACTCTCCAGGTCCCTCCATGTCCTCTCAAAAGATAAGAGATCTTTCTTTCTTATAGCTGCATAGTACTCCATTGTGTAAATGTTCTACAGCTTTTTCTATCCACTCGTCTACTGATGGACCCTTGGGCTGTTTCCAGATCTTAGCTATTGTAAATAGTGCTGCTATGAACATAGGGGTGCATATATTCTTCCTGATTGTTGTTTCAAGCTTTTTAGAATATGCTCCTAATTGGGATCACTGGGTCAAATGGTAGTTCCATTTTGAATTTTTTGAGGAAACACCATATTGTTTTCCACAGTGGCTGCACCAGTCTGCATTCCCACCAGCAGTGTACTGAAGTATCCTTTTCTCCACACCCTCACCAGCACTTGTTATTTGAGGATTTGTTGATGGCAACCATTCTGGCAGGTGAGATGTTATCTTATAGTCATTTCAATTTGCATCTCTCTGATGATTAGTGACAATGAGCATTTTTTCATATGTTTCTTGGCCATTTATGTGTCCTATTTGAAGAAGTGTTTATTCAGGTCCTCTGCCCATTTTTTAATTGGATTGTTCATCTTCCTCTTGTTGAGTTGTATGAGCACTCTATATATTATGGAAATTAACCCCTTATCTGATGTATCATTGGCAAATATGGTCTCCCATACAGTGGGTTCCCTTTTCATTTTGATGCTGGTTTCTTTTGCTCTGCAGAAGCTTTTTAGTTTGATGTAGTCCCATTTATTAATTTTTTCCTTTGTTTCTTTTGCCCTAGGTGATGTATTGGTGAAAATTCTGCTATGTGTGATGTTTAAGATTTTGCTGCCTACATTTTCTTCTAGGATTTTCATGGTTTCATGAATGATGTTTAAGTCTTTTATCCACTTTGAGTTTATTCTTGTGTATGGTGTAAGTTGTTGGTCTAGTTTCATTTTTTTGCATGCTGTCCAATTTTCCCAACATCATTTATTGAAGAGACTGTCTTTACTCCATTGTAAGCTCTTGTCCCCTTTGTCAAATATTAACTGAGTATAATGTCTTGGGTCTATTTCTGGGTTCTCTGTTCTGTTCCATTGATCTATATGCCTGTTCTTGTGCCAGTACCAGGCTGTTTTGATTAAAGGCTTTTTAGTATAACCTGATATCCGGAATTGTAATCTCTCCAACTTTGTTCTTCTTTTTGAAGATTGCTGTGGATATTTGGAATCTTTTTTGGTTCCATATAAACTTTTAGAGTGTTTGTTCTAGTTCTGTGAAATATGTCATTGGTATTTTGATGGGGATTGCATTGAATCTATAGATTGCTTTGGGTAGTATGGACATTTTAATGATGTTAATTCTTCCAATCCATGAACATGGTATATGCTTCAACTTTTTAATATCTTCTGCTATTTCTTTTTTCAATGTCCTGTAGTTTTCTGAGAACAGGTCTTTTGTTTCCTTGGTTAAGTTTATTTCTAGGTATCTTAATTTTTTTTATTGCAATGATAAATGGGATTGATTTTTTAGTTTCTCTTTGTGTGTGTTCATTATTGGTGTATAAAAATGAAACACTGTGTTTCTTGTACTCACAACAGTATACTTAGTTTAGCTTACCCTATATTTTGATGAAGTCCAATTTATCTATTGCTTATGCCTATTCTTTTTTTTTTATCCTCACCCAAGAACATTTTTCCATTTTTTGTTCAGGTAGAGTGGGAGGGAGAGAGAGGAACAGAGAGAGAGAGAAACATTGACGCGAAAGGAACACATCGAGTGGCTGTACCCGCATGACCGACCAGGGCCGGGGACAAACTGCAACCGAGGCACGTGCCCCTATCGGGAACCGAACCCCGGTCTCCCTGGACTGCAGGCCGACGCTCCAACCGATGAGCCAAACTGGCCAGGGTGCCTATACCTATTCTTTTCACTTCCAAGACATCGTTGCCAAATTTATTGTCATGAATGTTTCCTTTTATGTTTTTTTCTAAGTGTTATAGTTTTAACTCTTACATTGAGGTATTTAATGCATTTTGAGTTAATTTTTGCATATGGAATAAGGTAAGCATCCAATACTTCATTCTTTTGCATGTGGGTGACCAGTTAGTTTTCTGAGTACCATTTGTTGAAAAAAAAATTGTCCTTTCTTCATCAAATGGTCTTGGCAACTGTCAAAAATCATTTGACCATGCATGTGAGGGTTTGTTTCTGGCATCTCTGTTCTACATGTCTATCTTTATGCCAGTACCACACTCTTTTTTTATCCTCACTGGAGGTCATTTTTCCATTTGTTGTTTAGATAGAGTGGGAGGGAGAGAGAGAGAGAGAAACATTGATGTGAAAGGGACACATCGAGTGGCTGCCACCCACACAACCCAATCAGAGCCGGGGACAAACTGCAACCAAGGTACATGCCCTTAGCGGGAACTGAACCCGGGTCTCTCTGGACTGCAGGCCAATGCTCTACCCACTGAGGAAAAATGGCCAGGGCAGTACCACACTCTTGATCACTGTAACTTTGAAGTGTGTTTTGAAGTCAAGAAGTATAAGTTCTCCAGCTTTATTCTTCTTTTTAAAGATTGTTTTGGGAATTTGGAGTCTCTTGAGATTCTGTATAACTTTTAGTCTGGATTTTCTATTCTTGCAGAAAACATCATTGGATTTTGATAAGAATTGCATTGAATCTGTAGATCACCTTGGGTAGTATTGCTATCTGAACAATACTTAGTCTTCTAACCCATGAATACAAGATGTATTTCCATTTATTTATATCTTCTTTTCTCACAGAATGTTTGTAGTTTTCAGTACATAATATATTTGCTTTAAATAAAACTTATATGGTGAACATTTTTCATATCTTTAAATAAACTCTTTTAGAATATAGTTTGGGTAGCTACATAGCATCTCATCAACAGATGTTCTATGATTTATCTAATTTAATGCCATATTTAGGACAGTTTATTTTTACCTAATGTTTTGTTATAAACAATGTCTGATAAAATACCACTGGACATAATGTTTGCTTGTACCTTTAACTGTTTCCTGATATCTAGAGATAGAAGTATTATATCAAAGAAGTGAACATTAAGATGAGGTTTTTGAGGGTAGATGTCTTTTATGTGGTAAAAATACATAATATGAAATTTACCATCTTAACTATTTTTCACTACACAGTACAGTAGTGTTAACTATATGTACATTGTTGTGGAACAGATCTCTAGAATGTTTTCATCCTGCAAAACTGAAAGGTTTTTAAAAATAGATCAAGAATGTTTTGTTTTGTTTTTTGCCCTGGCCAGTTTGGCTCAGCGGTTAAAGTCTCGGCCTGTGGACAGAAGGGTCCAGGTTCAATTCCTGGTCAAGGCCACATACCTGGGTTGCAGGTATGATCCTCAATTCCTGGTCTCATATGGGAGGCAACCAATCAATGTGCCTCTCTCCATTCGATTTTTTTTTTCTCTCGCTCTCTCTTCCCCTCTCCCTCTCTCCCTTTCACTCTATCTAAAAATCAATGGAAAAATATCCCCCAGTGAGGATTAACAACAACAAAAAAAGAATGCTGTTTTAAAAACACAGTACTATGGTTTTAATTTTTTTTTCTTTCTACTTCTCTATAGTTTCCAAATTTTCTATAAAGTTAGAATTTGTAAAAGAAAGAATATGAATAATTCTTATTAAATTTATGTGTATCAAATGAAATTTGTTCAGGAGAAATTATTTTTTAGCGTTAGATTTTGGTAGCAAGATTTCAAACTATGGAATGAGACGGTATATCCAGGTTGTATCTAATTAAGGACTAGCTCCTTCTAGAGTAGTGGTTTTAACCAGGGTTGATTTTTCTCCCCTAGGGGACATTTAGCTATGTCTGAAGATATTTTTGGTTGTCACAACCTTGAGAGTAATGTTATTAGTACCGGGTGGGTTGAGACCAAGGATGAGGCTAAACATCCTAAAATGCACAGGACACCGCCGCACCCCCCCCCCCCCCGAAAATTTTCTCACTCAAAATGTCAAAATAGTATCAGATTGAGAAATCCTGCTCGAAAGAGAGTAGGGCACTAGGAGCTGCCTGGGGCTGGGAGGGGGGTGGTATTGGGGGAAAGAAGGAAAAATCCAATCCCTGGAGCCAGACCCTTAACTAGAGAGCAACCAGGGCTGGAAACGTCAGAGAAGGCAGAATTGTAGGATTTTAAATCTAATATTTGCATGTTAACTTGCAGCTGTCAGCAGCTAGAACTAAGCTTAGCACTCGGTTTGCAAAATTATTAGTTTAACAGTCACAGTCACAGTCACAGTGTGATAAATTACCACCAGTGAGCCACCTCATGAATTCCTAAATCAAGGATTTCCTTTCCTGTGGGGTGGGAGGCACAAGCTGAGTCCCTGGAGACATCCTGGAGATGTCCCTAGGCCCGCTCAGTCTCGGGGAGCAGAGCTGAGGCAGGCGCTCCGAGAGCGCTCCCTCGCCTAAGCCCCTGTCATCCTTCCCCGGGTGTTACTAGTGTCCGCCACACCCACTTAGCCGCAGAGACTTTCCCTGGGAGGGACACCCCTTCCTACTCTAATCGGTAGGTGGGGAAGGCAAGTCCGCCCCCAGGCTCCACACTCTCACACCCAGAAAACGCCTGATCTCAGCGCCCCGCGCTGTAGCCCCTTCTGACCTGGGACCTGCTCACCGCCCCGCGCTGTTACTCAGAAAGAGATCATTTTGCAATTTAAAAAGACAAAACTTTTGATTACAATGATTAACTCGGTTCAACGCCTTTGCTCAGTTCCAATTTCCTGAATAGGTTCCATGTAAAGGTCCTAGAGGCACCAAGTGACTTTTAACCCGAGTCATCAATTCGAAAGCTCTGGAGAGTCTAAGAGGAAACATACAATAACCACACACACACCCCAGGTCGTTACATAGAAAAGAGAGGAAATCCCCCTCCCCCGGGCCCCTTTTGTGCTGTTCCCGCCAGCGCAGCAGCCGGCCTGCTATATAGCCCGCTGCCCGCCCCCCTGAGCTCGCACGTGTCACCAGCCATGGGCAAGGTGAGCCCAGCGCCCAGGCCGACAGGGCCCCGGCAGACGCGGCCGGGCCCAGGTCTCTGACCTCTCGTTCCCTTCCTTGCAGATCACCTTCTACGAGGACCGCGGCTTCCAGGGCCGCCACTTCGAGTGCAGCAGCGACCACCCCAACCTGCAGCCCTACTTGAGCCGCTGCGGCTCCATCCGCGTGGACAGCGGCTGCTGGATGCTGTATGAGCGCCCCAACTTCCAGGGCCCCCAGTACTTCCTGCGGCGCGGCGACTACCCCGACCACCAGCAGTGGATGGGCCTGAGCGACTCGGTGGGCTCCTGCCGCCTCATCCCCCACGTGAGTCCGGTCCCCTGGTCCCTCTGCACCCTCCGGTCAGTCACACCAGTGCAGGACGGTAGCCCGCTTTTTTGTGGCTCTAACTGTTCTCTTTTCCTTTATTAATATCTGTAAGGTTTCTTCTACCGTAAACGTATGTGACGCAATGCTTTTCATTGGACATTTTGTTTTACTTTGTTAAAATTAAACTCACCTCTACTGGGAAAGAGTAGTGCATGATATTGTTCGGAGTGTCGATGCCACAGGTGATAACTAAGCGACTCCTATCAGGTGGCTTTTGGACCGTTACTGGGACTGTTTCTCTTTTTTCTCATCTGTAAAATTGAGCTAATAATAGTAGCTGATTCCCACAGTAGTAGTGAGGATGAAAGGAACGTATCTGACACATAAGAAGCCACCCTCCCCAAATATAAACTATTATTATGAACATCAAGGGTCCCTCAAGCTGCCTTTTGATTAGGAAAAACAGGTAACCAGCTCTGATTCCAATAACTCCTGCAAAGCCCACTGTTAACCCAAATAACGCCCCAGCAGCCTGGAATCCCACCCTTAGGGATTCTCTAATTTGACCGTGACAGAGTCTTGGGGAAAATGTACCATTTCTGTGAAGTGTGAAACCCCCTCAGAGGTTTTACTGCAGGATAGGACCCGGACTGGCATTAGGAGCCCGGAAATCTGGGCTTTCCCTGTCCAGTCCCAGCTCTTCTAATTACAGCCGGCAAGCTCTGTCCTGACGTTCTCATGGAAAAGGAAAAGGCTGACAATGGCGCTCCCCGTGTGTCAGGCTGTCGTGTAGATCAAATTAGGAAACGTACTTGTGAGTCCTGTACAAACCCCGGAAGATACATTATCTGCAGTTTCTTATAGGGCAGAATGAATTGCTCATGAGAACCTTCTGCAGTAAAGAGGATTTAATGATGGAAGAAGGACGACACTGAATGGGTACCTGCTGGGAAGGAACAAGCAGATGAAAGAACAAATGCTCAAGGAAAGACAGACAGGATTTGCCCCGCACTAACAGCTTACCTTTCCCTTTTTCTAAAGGTTTTATAATCTATTGATCTGTAAAGGCCTCTTTCATGATATTGGGCTTCCATATCCATTAGTTACCTAAAATTGTTTTGCCAGAGCGTATATTAGAGCTAATCTTTCTGATGGCGCCCACTTTTCAAAATTTTAGAGTAACAGGACTTAAAGCAGAAAGGAAGTTATTAAGGAATTGCCTATGCGTAATTGCCACCAGTCTGTGCCTCAAATTGACTTTCTCTCTCCTTAGCCTCTTCTAATAATGTTGTCGAAGTCAAAATAATACCTTTGGGCATTGATATATTTGTTTTTTTGTTTGTTTTAATATTTTATTATTTTATATCATCCAGTATGGAGAGCCCCAGAACACCATACGTCTATGAAGAAGAGAGCAAAACAAATATATAAAACTGTTACTTAAGAATGGAACTAAATAGAGCCAGTGTGTATGGTTCACATAGGTTGTGACCGAAAAATCTCCAGGGCGAACCATTCATATTGTGGTCTGCATAAATAATGACTTTTTGAGTTTTACAGTGTATAACCCATCCAACTAACTGCACATAGCAGCCCTGGTGCTGGAAGTCTCTTTCTTTAACTTAGTCGCCTTTGATACAGAAAAGATGAAGAAGCATTCATCCCCCAGAGCTGCATGTGATTGGTTGCTAACGGCTCGGTTTTCTGACTTCTCTTTGTATGCTGATTGCTGAATCCACAGACCAGCTCCCACAGGATCAGAGTGTACGAGAGGGAGGATTGCCGCGGCCAGATGGGGGAGCTCACTGAGGACTGCTCCTCTCTCCAGGACCGCTTCCACTTCCCCCACATCCACTCCTGCAGTGTGCTGGAGGGCTGCTGGGTCCTCTACGAGATGCCCAGCTACCGGGGGCGGCAGTACCTGCTGAGGCCCGGGGACTACAGGCGCTACCACGACTGGGGGGCCATGGATGCCAGAGTGGGCTCTCTGAGAAGGGCCACGGATTTCTATTGAAATGTCTCTACCCTTTTCTCCATCTGGAAGCTAATAAAATATTTCCTGTGTGTTTCATGCAGTCATGGAGTCCTGTTTTCCTTTCAAGCTCCTTGGAAGAGTTCCCCAAAATTAAGCTGGGATAATGTGCACTTTCTTGCCCCCATCAGTGGAAATGGGGTCCTGAGCAGTTAAGAGCACAGGGTCTGCAGTCAGAATGCCAGGGTACACACCCACTTCCTGGCTGTAGGTGGCAGGGCAAGGTACCTAGCAGATCTGTGCCTCAGTTTTCTAATTTGTAAAACCTGGGGTAACAACACTCTTCATCTCTTAAGGTGGTAATGGGGATTATTATGAATTATTATTAGATTTCTTTTACAATGGTCCCAGGCATGAAGTAAATGCTGTTTAATAAGTATGTATAACATGAATGTTCCTTGGTTATCTTTGAGTCTGTGGACCTTATAAATTAGAGTTTTGTCAAAGAATCAACAATGGGTTGAGGATCACCAGCATCGGAATCATCTGCGACACTTGTTCAAATGCAGATTCCTAGGCCCCGCCCCAAGGTGAGTTTTCTGCAAAGGGCTTAACTAGTTATTTTCACCTAGGTCCTTCCAGCATTCTTTAAAACACAAAATATTTTCTTTAAAAACTAAATTGGAATATTGAATATATTATGTTGGTATATGAGTTGTCTCTGCTAGCTGCTAAGATTACTGAAGAAACTTTAAAACAAACAGAAAGGCCCTGGCCGGTTTGGCTCAGCGGTTGGAGTGTCGGCCCACACACCAGAGTCCCGGGTTTAGTTCCCTCTAAGGACACATCCCCGACCCTGGTTGGGGTCATGTGGGTGGCAACCACTTGATGTGTCTTTCTTACATCGATGTTTCTCTCTCTCTCTTCCTCCCACTCTCCCTCCTGCTCTATCTGAAGATAAATGCAAAAAAATGTCTTCAAATGAGGAAAAGAAAGAACAAAAGAAAGAAAGAAAGAAAGAAAGAAAGAAAGAAAGAAAGAAAGAAAGAAAGAAAGAGATGAAGAGGTGAGGAAGCAGAGAGATCCCAGCTGGGGGGCTGCTGCAGTCATTCAGAGAAGACCCCAAAGGATTCCTATGGACATGCCTACTTGAGAAGCCCTGGGCTAACGCGTGCCAGTGTCCCCCAAATCCAGTCCAGTGTAGGTCACCGTTTCTCACGTCAGGTTGTACATTAGAAACACCCACAGAGCTTTTAAAAATGCTGATGGCTGGGCCACACTCCCAAAGTTTCTGAACTAATTACATAATTTTCCAAGAATTTCTCTCTTCTGATTTAAAATTTATCGATGTATATATGCTATTTTACTTTTTTGTTCTAGATATTCAAATATCCCGAATATTTTAATAATAAGAAAGCTTGACTGGTAAACAAGATTTGAATCCAGGGCCAAGATGGGACTCCCAGCTTCTCTTCAAACCAAGCTAACCCGGGCACAGGCAGAGCAGCTGTGGATTCCAGGCGCACATCCCAAGGACAGGCCTGCCCTGGACGCAGAGTGGGCACAGCAGGCAGAGTGCAGGGGGCCCGGGCAAAGCCACGGACAGACCCTGTGGCCCGGGAGCCGTGGCCCCTTCCAATGTGGATGTTTTGTCCATTAGGCCAGCTGAACAACCTGAGGGCCAAAGAGACACTTACCTCGCTTAGGAACAAGATTTTTTAAATATACGAAGAAGGCTTTCCCTGGCCAGGTGGCTCAGTTGGTTGGAGCATCATGTTGTACACCTAAAGGCTGTGGGTTCGATTCCTGGTCAGGGCACATACCTGGGTTGCAGGTTGGATCCTGGTTAGGGTGAGGATGGGAGGCAGCCAATCGACGTTTCTCTCTCACATCAATGTCTCAATGTCTCTCCCTCTCTCTCTCTCAACATATCCTCAGACAAGGATTAAGGAAAAAAATATGAAGAAGGTTTTAGAACCCAGCTATGCTTAAATTTACTATCAGCTGAATTTATTACTAACAAGACAGCTTTCCATTAATAAATCTTTGCTTTTTCTCTTTGTACCCTGATTCTCACATTTTCCTTCATTACTGATTTATAGGCTCTGGAATTCTTTCTCTTCTCTCTCCCTTTTCTTTCTCTTAGTGGAAAGTTGGAAGACTTTTGTGCCAGAGAGAGAATTCCATAAATGCAAACTCTTTAAAGAAGCTTCCTTTTCTTTAGACAACACTTTTACTTAATCTAGAGAAGAGCTCCACCCTGTGCTCACCAGAAGGAAGGCAAGTATGGTTTAAAAGCCTTTTCCAAAATCATGAATGGTAAGAGATTATTTTGCATCTTTTTTTCTTTAAAAAAAAATTTTTTTTTGAAAGAAGGAGGGAGAGAGAGAGAGAGAGAGAGAGAGAAACATCGATGTGAGAGAGACATATCGACTGGTCGCCACCCACACAACCCCAACCAGGGCCTGGGACAAACCGCACCTGATGTACATGCCCCCAGTGGGAACCGAACCCAGGACTCTCCGGTTCGCAGGCCAACACTCCAACTGCTGAGCCAAACTGGCCAAGGCATTTTCTTTTAATTTTTAAAAAAATCTTCACCCAGGGATACTTTTCCACTTATCTTCAGATAGAGTGGGAGGGAGAGAGAAAAAAACATCAATGTGAGAGAGACACCTCAATTGGTTGCCTCCTGCACGACCCGACCAGGGCCGGGACCGAACCAAAACCAACGTAAGTGTCCTTGACCCAAATAAATCCAAGACTCTTTGGTTCACAGGCCGATGCTCTAACCACTGAGCAACCAGCCAGGGCTATTTTGCACCTTTTATATATACTCTGCTATGATGCGTACTCAGAGTATACTTATACTTTAGCCCAAGTGCTTACTAAGCAAGTGTAAATATTATTTTGAGAGCTTTGTGACACATCATAGGCATTTCGTAAAACAAGCTGAAGGAAGGCCTGACAGGTGTGGCCTTGTGAGTGGGGAAGCCAGCATCTGCACTGTGACTTTAACAGAGCCCCTGGTCCTCTTCCTCCATCTCTGCACCTGACAGACCCGCTTCTAATTTATGAGCCTTTGCTCCACGAGAGGATAGGCCCTTCTTGTTCCAATATTTCCTCCACTTCACCTCCAACTCTTGTCCACTTGTGGTTTCTCAACCACCTCTTTTTTATATAGTTTACATTTTTCGTATCATTGTATGTATATGAATTATTGTTTGACAGATGTCTTCATTAATATCCTTTAGAAAACAAAAGGACACCTATTTCAAACCTCGCTGGCTAACTTCCTGTGCTCCTCCACCCCTCTCGGTGTCTACAGACGTACAAGGATGTTCCCATCCCACCGGTCTTACAACATCCCAACTCAGTCTAAGTGTGGTCAGGTAATAAACAGTGACTCCACTGTCCATCCTTGCGTGTAAAAGCCACAAGCGTGGCTCTTTAGAATAACACCCAAGCTACGAACCTTGAGGCTGCTTTGAATAGCACCCTCCAGGAGATGTTTGCCTTTCTGCCTGACCCCTCCTACTCCAGTTTATTCTGGTCTGAAAGGTGAGAATTGGGAACCCTCAATGTAGCTCACGGATATAGTCCACGTTCTTGTACCTTTGGGCTGTGGCGAGCATCCCAGAAAGCCTCCGCCAGAGGTCCCAGCTGGAAGGGGAACCCTGCGGACTGACCCAGGTCCCAGAGCCCTACGGGACTCCAGCTCTGAGGTGTATCCCCTTCCTCTCACTCTGACTTCGTGGCCATCTGCCTGTCAGGGGCCTTAAGTAAGATAAACCCTGTCTTATCCTCAACATGTTCTCTTTCCACGAAATCAAACTGGCCCGTTTTAAGCTGTCTTACCATCAGACTCTCCAAGGACCACCAGTGCTCTGCCCTGTTTCAGATTCTTCTCCACGGTTTCCATGGCTCGAGTTTCCGCCTCCTGTGTAATTCCTTTTCCTTCACCACACTTCCTCTACTGCTTATTTAATCAAGCTTTATTTAAAATGTGTCTATTTCTCCCTTATCCTGTTTGCTAAACCTCCATTCAAGGGCTCACCCCAGGTTTATTGAGATATAATTGACATGTAATGTTGTGTAAGTCTACGGTGTACAATGTGAAGATTTGATACATGGATACATTGCAAAATGCTGAGCACAGTAAGGTTAGTTAGCACACCCTCTACCGCACAACACAGCCATGTTGTTGTTGTTGTTGTTGTGGCATTCACAGCCAGGCCATCGTGTCTTCCTGACAAACACGAACAATTTACAGAATGCTGGTAGCAGCTGAGGTCGCTCTGCGACGGGGCAAGGCAAAAATAAGACCACTCCACATCCATGTCTGAGCACTGCAGGTGAGATCGAGACCCTTGTGAATGACAAAGGCCCAACCCCCCGCCCTTCCAGTCACCACGAGTGATAGCTGTTGCTTTCCCAGTTAGTTTTCGCTCCACCCCCTTCCCCCCCCCCCCCCCTAGTGAACGTTCAGTAACAATAGTTAAATGCCCCGTCATAGCACCGACCTCACCCTAAAGCACCTAACGCAAGGCCAGATCTTGTAACAGCCCCTTCTTCCGAGATGCCCCGGTGCACAGCCTCCCGCCTTGCAACAGGTACCAGCGAATCCAACTTTGTTCAGTGGCGGGTGTGCTCCTGGTGGTCTTTGGCTGGTGGGTGGAGGGGAGCAGAATGAGCTACCCCAAAACGTTCCTCTTTGGTATAAGGATTATTTTGAACTAATTATTTTTGAGAAACAGCAGGTACAGGAGAAATTCTGAAAACAGAGTAGAAGTTACCCTTTTATAAGGGACATTTATATTTATAAAGGAAATCGCTGTCAGCGTCTCCCTCTCTGTATCAAGAAGAGAAGATGACTCTAAATCACAGAAGAATCTTATCAATGGAGATAGCACCCAACTTAAATCTGCATAACAACCTTATTTTTGTTTACTGTGCTTTTCCTTGATAACCCCGCGACCTGGCCTCCCCCTACACCCCAACATCTTTCTCTTGTCTTTAGTTGGAAATGATATTTAATTTAAGGTGGTGGTTTGGGCCATTTCAGGGAGTTCTACTGTTTTCTTGGGTATCTCCCATGTGTAC